TATGAAATTCCTCTCAAGAAAGTAAACTCAAGGAGTTGCCTTGAGGAGCATGTAGGTATGGCTTATGTCACTCTAGGAAGAAAGCAACAAATAAATTTTTTTTCTGGTGTATAAAAATTGTCCCCTCCAAATTAATATAGTCTAATGGGGATACACCTAGAGGACATCATGCTGAGTGAAATTCACCAATCACAAAAGGGCAAATGCTGCCTGAGCCACTCATAGAACAAGTCAATAAGCGGTTTTCACACTAAAAGAAACCTATTCTGATGGTCACCAGGATGGAAAGATAAAAGATGGAGAAGGAGACACAAGCTAGAGGTAGAACTGCTAACTTGTGCAAAGGAGAAGACAATATACAACAAGAGGGAGGGAAGAGGAAAAGGACAGAGGCAGGGCAAGACAGTGGGAGGTTTGCCCCAGTTAAAGGCAGCAGAGGCAATCACTGTTATATACAGAATCCTGCAAATGGTGACCTGTAAGTGGATGCTCAGACAGATATACCAGCTAAACAGGTATGGGAGGGAGAGGGGGCATATATCCACAAACATATAATGAACTAGCAGAGGATAGTTGTATATGTGTATTTATCTTTGTTGTAAATAAATCCATACATGTGGCAGAATATACAGGAGGCAAAACTATGAATACTTATTATATATAACAAAACTCCAGAGATGGATCATCCAGGATCATCATCTTAGGGGACAACAGGGTCCATCGGCATAACGTAGTTCACAACGACAATGTCCTACATCCAACTTGGGTGATTTGTGACAGGGGTCTCAAATGCTCACGAGTAGCCATCTAAGGTGCAGCCATTTTTCTCTCTCCATGTGGAGGAGGGAGAATGATGGAAATCAAAAGACATGGGAACAATTGGTCCCATGGACTCATGGAGCACATAAACATCAGCCTCATGGCCCTGAGACCAGACGCGATAGATGGTGCCCAGCTACCACCACCAACGGCTCTGAAAAGGATCACATAAGAAGGTCCTGGACAGAGTGGGAGAAGCATGCAGAACGAAACTAGAAAAATCATAAAAGAGGCCAGGCTCACTGAGGGACAACCACATGTACCAAGACTGACCCATACCCATCAGGTCTGTTGCTGAACTCAACCCAGTTGAACAAAATGGCACCAAGTATCCAAGGTCAAGGTTCAGAGGGTTAGGAAGGAGAGACAAGGAAACAGGAAACACAGGGGGCCCGTGTGGGGAGTGCCAGTACATGGAGGGGATGGCAGTCGATGAGCAGACAACATGGGTATGAGCTGTCCAATGTGAGGCACAATAAAATGTTCTTCATGTGGTCATTTATATGAAAGGTAAGGCC